ACAAACCACTCTCCAGTCGAAGCGTATAAGTAAGAGCGCACATGTCCTTTTAAATATTTAAATAATGTCAAGGGTTTTGTTAGGATCAACAGATAAAGCATTGTTTACATTCCCATAGTGGGAAAAATGAACTGGAGTGGAGACTGGGGAGCTTACAAAGCATTACAAATTTGTAGTTAGGGAAATAGTGAAAATTCAACAGTGGCTGAAACCAAGTGGAAATTAGTGGACTGAAATGCTGCAGCTCTGCTTAATGCTTCATTTATTTATAATTAATGACATATGTACGTTTGTGTAATGTGAAACCACAGAGAATTAGCACTAAAGGTTGCAGGTTTGAGCCTCTCATGGCCTTTTTTAGCTCATTGTTTTGGTCTTGTTGCTCACATCAACATTATTTCCAACAGCAGCTGTTTTCTGAAAACAAGCTCAAACCAAAGTGTTAGCAACTAGCTGCTTAAGAAATATCAAAATATTACAGCTAAGGAGTCAAATGTGTTTTCTCAGGGGCTAAAAGGAGAATGAATATTGGACGTTTGCTAACATGTCAGTGCCCTCAACAGGTTCTTCTGCCCCCTGGTGGCCAAGAATCAGTGCAGCTTTAAAGTGCCTTTTTGTTGGGGAAACAAAACATTTTAATACAGAAAACACTCCAATGCTAATGCTATTGGTGATATACTTCTATTTCTGGGTTCCATGTTGTTGTTTGGTATATTACTTCTACTGATAACTGCTCTCCAAATATAGATTATGTAACATCACATCCACGTGTTGAAATTCCATCCCTGCTATTTTGGAATTTGATAGCTTTTGATTTTTCTTTCTTTGATCTATACAGCATTATATAATCGTCAGGTTTTAGAGAAGGGCCCCTCACAATCAAAGAGCCTTCTGTCTGGAGCTGCCATCCTGCACCAACAATTCATCAATCATACAGGGAGAACAGAGCAGGCAGACAGACAGGTTTTAACACCGGCAGTCACTACCGCAGACCAGAATCCATTGCAATTTAATAAGAATGACTTCATGTGTTTATCTCCTTTGAACAGCCACATCCAAAGTAGTTTATGAATTTAAAATCAACCATACATTATGTATACAAGGGATTTCTCCAAGTAGGGTTGCATTAGTATGAATATGACTTATAATTCACTCTTTCATTACCTGCGGCTGCCAACATGAGTAGATTCGGTGGAGTATTTGCTTTCAGTGTTGGCACACTGTCATAATAGTTTATGATGGCAAAAATCTCTAACTGCCATGTAAAGACACCTTCTCAGTAGGTTCAAGGATGGGTACAACAAAAAGCTAAAGTGCATCCCCTCATTTCTACAATAACTCCTAGGATTTAAGATCTAATGGTGTACGAGCATACAAAGGGGATTTTTACTTTGAGTGAGCCATAAAAGCGTGTTTACCCTCCACTGCCTCTCTTCAAGTTTTACCAGCCTCACAACAAAAAGGATTATTTATTTCTCCTCACCTAGAAAAACCACGACACCACTGGGAAAATGGTGTTTCTTTTGATACATACATTACCAACAGCTACTCAGGTTGAGAACAAATCCCACTGAAAAAAGGCCAACTTTGATGAAATAATGCAGGAAAGAGTGCCGGTTGTCAACATTGTTGCCACAAGAGACTCTTGGTTCAATATTGAGATGCCATACATTTCATCCAAGATTTAATTTTCTGCTTCAAACACAGAGTGATAAAGTAATCATGCAGACGCGTGTCATCATTTAGACAAGTTGTCATCTCAGAATTATAATTTTAATATGGCAGCACGCATCTGTCATCCCCAGATTAGACTTTCCATCTCAGCGATCCTCATCCAGAAGGTGAAGTATAGGTGAAGTGCATTATATAACTGACACAGCTTTTCAATCCCAACTGCTTTTCTTTCTCTCGGGTTCAGTGATTTGTATCGGCATTGGCAGCTATTTGTCAGAAACAATATGGTCGATGATGTAAATATAAATGTAAATGTTCAGCTACCAACTAAATAAGTTTACACATTCAAATCACACAGGGAAGATAAATTATTAGGTTTGAAAACAGGAGCACACACTCATCAGTATCTATAATAGCATAGATGTCCAAGATTGATTTTTTTTTTCTCCTTCGCTGTCTGATAAAACTCTAGTATTAGCTGCGCCTAATTCCAATCTCTATTTAAGAATAAATTGCATGTTTCATGCGTATAACTGACTGGTTCCTCAAACCACTATTAGTCACCAACAGAGACAATTGAAATGATTGCAATTTATCCTCCACATTCTCACACAGACTAACAAAGATCATGGATCTCATCAGTAAGGGTATGTGTGCATTCATGCTTGTGTGCATGTGCTTATGCGTTGTGGGGTGGGGTTTTTATTTTTTGTTCATTTGTCAATCCTATGAATAATAATAAGCACTCTGCACAAAGTAATAGATGAGGCTTTCAATGGTAGTCAACTGTGTATTGTGCAGAGGGGTCGCTGGCTACACCTCTGCA